AACTACACTTTTCTTTTATAGATTTGTGCCATTTATCCGCAGCACTTTTCAGTCTGAAGCAAAAACACTAAGTGGAATTTAAAAGGCAAAGCAAAAATTACTCTGAACCACTACCAACCCTAAACAGAAAGAAAATTAAACCAATATTTCATTATAAGCAATTAACAGACAAATTAAACAAGAAATTGCAATATTTTTTCCAAAGAGATGTTCAAAACAAAGAGGTATACATATGTTTTAAACAGGTGTTTAAAAAAAATTTAACACCAGAGTATACTTCAACAATTGACTTTATTAGATTTTAAATCAAGACAAATTCAGCAAAAAGAACTGGAACGTCAAATAAAAAGTTAATAATATACAGAAATGTGATTTAATCAGACAAACTTCTCTCTCCACACTCTTCTACCCACCACATCTGTGCAAATAATCACATCAGTTGTAACTGATTGAGGAGGAAGTGATTGTAAAGGCCGTTAGCCTCTCACTCCCCTTCAATCTGCAATAAATGCTCCGACTTCAGAATAATCAACAGCAAGCAAAAAACTGACGGACCCTGAATATATCCATGTGGCCCTTTAACCCCACACTAGTATAATGACTGGAAGAGCCCAGTTCTGGTCTCAGCTCGGCTTTAGTTTGTGTGAATACAGTGGAAGCCAAAAGTGGCCTTTCAGAAGAAATCCTTCTGATCCCCTTATCAAACATGACTCGGCATCTTTCCAGGACAAACCATCCGATACAGATGTTATGAGATTGATCAAACACAGCAAGTTATTTAAGCTCTGATGCGACCGAGTGCAGGATCACACTGATCACAGATGAAGGAAAACTTTCAAATAGTACTATAAAATATGACAATCTGTTATGTAACACTATTAAAAGCAGATGCGTTTTTGGACAAAATCTATAAAGCACAGTACTCTTTATGATACCGAGGAACAAAACTCTACATGTAGAAGAATTCTCTCTTGTTAATAAAGTACAGGAACCACCATGAATAAACAGGTACAAAGTGTTTGATAAGAAAGCTGAAATTCTGAAGTTTTTTTATTTTTTATTAAATGCACTGCCTCCTACTTTAAATTTCAAACCAGAGGCAGCTCAGGCCCTACTTGTGTTAGAGAATCAGAACGGTTAGAAAAGGAAGAATTAAGGAATGTGAAAACAGCACTTTAAAGACTGTTTCATCGATTATGTGTTTAATACCGCTGACCTCGTTCAGCACGGCGTGACCCGTCTGTGTTCTATAACTGAGTCCCTCATCATTTCGCCTCACTCTAAAATATATTTAAGGAATCAGAGAAAATAAACCGGAGTGTCACTGAGCTTCAGTTGTTCTTCTTCTCAGGAAAGTCTGGATTAGGTGCATAAGGAGGAGGGCGCTCCTGCAGGAGAGAATTAAAAACAATCAAAAAGGCGATTCGTATATTTCCAGTAGGATGTGGAGAAAACGTGCAGGGAGGCTTACCGCCGGCATGTAGACATTGTGCGGATTGCTGGGATTATAATATGCGCTGCCTGCTGCTTCGGCTGCCTTTGAGTTACCTGGACAGAAAATAAGACACAAAACAGGAAAATTAACAGGAGCAGATGCTACAGCTCAGAAGATGGAGCGCAGTTTATCTTATCCAGCTTCAGAAATTGTCAAGACATAAATCAACGAGGAGTAACGTGAGAAACTCCACCTTATCATGAAATACAGATGTGTCATTCTGGAACCAAACTGTCCCACACGCACAAAACTCCACAAGCGTCATCATTTTGTTAATATATTTAATGAACTAAACATCTGCTTTTTTCTTCAAGCAATGTGCTTCAAAGTGATTCATCTTGAAGAAGATTCTTGAAGAAGTGATTAGATCTGACGTGTGCAGTGACACGGGCGTACGAAGAGAGAGAGAGAGCGGGGAAAGAAAAGGAGGATGTTGTTGAAAGAAGAGACAGAAAGTGAGGAAAATAAAAATAGAAAACAGACCTGGAGGAGGTGCAGAGGCCCAGTTCTGAGGTGGTGGAGTCCAATTTTGTGGGGGCCCTGGGTACGGAGGAGGGGGGGCCATGTAGTCGAGCCCAGATGGATACATTCCTGGAACAGAAAAACAACGAGTGCAGGGAAATATGAAAGAAACAGAAAAACACAAAAATACACAAGATAAAGAAAAGGAAAAAAACAGCTCTGCTTTAGGTTTATTACATTTATACAAAGTGAAAGTGAGAAAACAAAAAATGAAGCAAATCTGTAGAAAACTCTTGAGATTAAGTTTAAACAGTTTCAGCATCAGTTTTACCACTTACAATGCATTTTACCAGGATCTAAGTAAAGATATTCTGCAAATGTCTGAACTTTGTACCTGCTGCTGCTGGATAGGGATAGCCCATATTGCCTGCAGCAGGAGCCGGAGGAGGACCCTGGTAGAACCCATTCTGCTGGGGAGGAGGTGGGTACGGGTAGCTGTTGGGAGCAGGTGAAGATGGACCATAACCATTCATCATTCCAGGTGAAGGATAACCATAAGAAGCAGCACCGTTCTGAGCCGGAGCAGCACGAGAAGCTGGAACACAGAAGGAGAATGGGATTTTAATAAAAAAATTATGGTTTGTGTTCACACAAAAGCATGCAAAGAAAAAAATAAATAAATCTACTTTAGATGTTTTTTTTAAAAGGTCAAAGCAGACAACAAATGACTACTGGTACATTTTATCATTTATATATATTTTTAGAATGTTGTACTTTAAATGTTTTCTGTACTGGCCTATGTTAAGAGGAAGTCAGTGAAAAATAAATAGGGACAAGTACGATTAAAAATGAGAGCATACAAACCATTTGTGGCCAGTTTGAAGAGGTGCTGTCCCACCTCAATGGCTCCTCCACTGGGAAATGACATTTTGAAATGGGCCTGACCCTCCCAGCCACCTGGATAAATAATTCACTTAAATTAAAAACAAGATCATAGGGAATCTCCCCCCAGTGGGGCGTGCCCAGAACACCCGCAGCAACAATACAGACCCATATTTAATAGTTTGAAAAACAGAAGGCCACCCACCGCCTGGCTCAGCTGACACAGTCCCTTTTATGTAGTTGGCTCCAAATACTGGCTGCTCAATGCTACAGCCTTTCATTAAATAATAGGGGAACATGGCCGAACCCAGGCAGTCCTTGAAATTACTGGACACAAACAACAGCTGAAAAAGAATACCCCAAAAAGGGCAAAGAAGTGTTGGCACCCTGAAAACTTGTATTCAACCCAGTGTATTAAATGCTGCTTCAATTGGTTATACCCTGTATGGTGTTAGATAAATTGTGCCCTTCTTGGTCCCCTTCAGCAGATCAGTCTTGCAAGTGACGTCACTGAACGACAGCTCGACATTCTTACAGTCCCTTATAACACTGAGGAGAGAAGAAACAGTGTAGGTAAAGCCGATACAGACACCGGGTTGGGTTATCTAAATCACTCAGGAAGGAAACTTTAGAACTTAAATATTGTAGTCCTCATTATTATGTAACCCCCACTTTGTGTAATATTGTTGTGTGGTGATATGTGTTTTAACAATGTCAACATGAAAAGAAGGCAAACGCCACTTCCTGTTTGGGGAGTCGGCTAACGAAAGAAGTTAGCCACAACCTAAACTAAACCTAAAAACACAACAAAAGTAAAACTTCGGGCATTATATTTTTAGGTACTGGTAGCACATTAAATGTATGTTGAGACACCATAAACAGGTAAACAATTTGAGCCAAATGTCAGCAATAAAACAGATAAGCTAAGAGTTGCTAATGTTACCCGGGCCAGCTAGCAGCAGCTCACTACGCAGCAGCGGAGCAGAAAATAAACAAGCTGAACGAAGACAAAACAGCGGCTGCTTAAAAAAATTAACTTCACAGAAAAAAACACAATAACGCATGTAAAACTCACCACTCTCCGTTGGTTATCAAAACACCGCCGTTTGTCGAATGATTCCGATTCAGAGCCATGTTGTTGTTCAGGAGACTTTCGGGATTTACTCCTACTGCCGTGCTCTAAGCTAAACTCTGAAGCGTCAGAAACTCACCGGAAATTACGTCATCAAGCCCGCTGACAACTCGTGACCTGCTTTTCTCTGTTTACAGGAACAACGTAGCAATTTTCTCCATCGTCTATAAATAGAAATAGAAATATGCAGGCGCTGGTAATAAAATTAGAGCATCATGAAAAAGTTGATTTATTTCAGTAATTCCATTCAAAAAGTGAAACTTGTATTATATTCATTCATTACACACAGACTGATGTATTTCAAACGTGTATTTCTTTTAATGTTGATGATTATAGCTGACAACTAATGAAAACCCCAAATTCAGTATCTCAGAAAATTAGAATATTACTTAAGACCGATAAAAAAAGATCTTTAGAAATGTTGGCCACTGAAAAGAGCATGTACAGCATCAATACTTAGTTGTGGCTCCTTTTGCCTGGATTACTGCATCAATGCAGCGTGGCATGGAGTCGATCAGTCTGTGGCACTGCTCAGGTGTTATGAGCCCAGGTTGCTCTGATAGTGGTCTTCAGCTCTTCTGAATTGTTGGGTCTGGTGTATCACATCTTCCTCTTCACAATATATTTTCTATGGGGTTAAGGTCAGGTGAGTTTGCTGGTCAATTAAGAACAGGGATACCATGGTCCTTAAACCAGGTACTAGTACCAGGAACTAGGTTCCTGTTGGAAAATGAAATCTGCTTCTCCATAAAGTTGGTCAGCAGCAGGAAACATGAAGTGATCAAAAACTTTCTGGTAGACGGCTGCGTTGACCTTGGACCTCAGAAAACACAGTGGACCAACACCAGCAGATGACATGGCACCCCAAACCATCACTGACTGTGGAAACTTGACACTGGACCTCAAGTAACATGGATTCTGTTCCTCTCCTCTCTTCCTCCAGACTCTGGGACCTTGATTTCCAAAGGAAATGTAAAATTTACTTTCATCAGAGAACATAACTTTGGACCACTCAGCAGCAGTCCCAGGTGAGACGCTTCTGATGCTGTCTCTTGTTCAAGAGTGGCTTGACACAAGGAATGCGACAGCTGAAACCCTTGTCTTGCATATGTCTGTGCGTGGTGGTTCTTGAAGCACTGACTCCAGCTGCAGTCCACTCTTTGTGAATCTCCCCCACATTTTGGAATGGGTTTTATTTCACCATCCTCTCCAGGGTGCGATTGTGTTTATTGCTTATACACTTTTTTCTACCACATCTTTTCCTTCCCTTCACCTCTCTATTAATGTGCTTGGACACAGAGCTCTGTGAACAGCTAGCCTCTTTAGCAATGACCTTTTTGTCTTGCCCTCCTTGTGCAAGGTGTCAGTGGTCGTCTTTTGGACAACTATCAAGTCAGCAGTCTTCCCCATGATTGTGTAGCCTACAGAACTAGACTGAGAGACAAATTAAAGGCCATTGCAAGTGTTTTGAGTTAATTAACTGATTAGTATGTGGCACCAGGTGTCTTCAATATTTCACAGTATTCTACTTTTTGAGATACTGAATTTGGGGTTTTCAGTAGTTGTCGGTTATAATCATCAACATTAAAATAAATAAACATTTGAAATATATCGGTCTGTGTATAATGAATTAATTTAATATACGTTTCACTTTTTGAATGGATTTTACACGTACCGGTATATATTTCTACTTATATATAAAATTAATTAAATGAAACATCACAGGTGTAATGTTGCCAACTGTCTTTAATGTTACGGGTTGTTTCTCAAAAATTTAGTTAGAGCCAGAGTTTTACAATATTTGATCGTTAGTATGAATAAGCTGTTAGCATATTTATAAATCTAAATTTTATAACACGTTACATTTCACCAACAAAGATTTTTTGTAAATGTACTCATTTTACTCTATATAAATGTATGCTAATATTTTAAAGATGAATTTCTGAACTTACATTTTAAAAAGCAGCACATAAACTTCTAATAAACCATGTTGTTACTATAGAGTGTAGCTTTTATAAAAAAAAAATTAGACATTTACTGCGCATAGTCAAACATGACAATTTTAAGGGAATATTAAGATAATTATTTTTCTTTGCCCTCCCATTTTATCTGCTAACCTTAATGTTAAAACTGCACGGATTTGAAATAAATGTTTGAAATGAGCTTCATTATCTTTGCTTTTTTTTTTTTAATAGTTGACTTTGATCCCTGATTCTAACTTGACTTCCACCCCATCACTAACTCAGCTCAAGCTGACAGGAGGTACATGCCTCATGTAGATTAACAGCCTTGAAATTATGACGTGGATTATTTACAGTACTGACGTTTTGTTTTATTTGCATGAGTAACAAAAGCTGGAAAGACCTGAGCGAATACATTATGATAAAAGCTGCATCTGGACATACTCAGCTCCTCTGATTGAAAACCAGACAAGCGTCAAACTGATTAACACTAATTACCGGAAGTCACGTGACACGCCCCCTGCGCCATAGAAAAAGTTGGTTTGAAATATTTGGAGCGGAAAAGTTAAAATATACAGTACATTTAAAAAAAAAAAAAAAAAGGAAACTACGAGGAGATGAATTGTAAGTATGTAAAAATAACTTTGATTTGGTTCCTCGTGGACCTGATGGCGCAGCGCTGCTGCGTCTCCAGCCAGCAGGTGAGGAAGAACTCACGTGGGCACAAGACCCACCTGGCCTTACCGACAGTCAGCTGCTCTGTCCGTGGGATCAGGGCTGTGTTCGGCCCGTTGGTCAAAGAGAACCTGCATGTTACAGGTAAGAAAGAGTCTCACGCGCTAATCCAGGCCAGTGTCCTCGGGAATAAAAAAGAAGAACGACAGAAAACACCTGGATAATTTTGACCCAGCGTGGATTAGACAAATTCCACAACTAATTCGAATTTGCTAACTTGTTTCTGGGCTTATTTGATCATTTATTGAAGTTGTATATTGTGTAATCAAACAGGTGAAGATAAACACTGAAAACCTACAAATATTGTGGCATATCTGGAATAAACTACAGAAAAAGGCTATCCAATTGATGGCCCAGGGGCCACATCCTGCACGCAGGTTGAGCTCAGTTTGGCCCACAGCTGAGTTCATTTAAATAAAACTAAATTTTAAATATGTTTACCTAATGACAATAACTGCTGGATCTTTAGCCCACGAGCTGTTGGGTTTTCAATGATCCCTGAGCAATGTTGAATTGCCCTTTTAAAAAAGTCCCCAAGATCCAAGTTGACTTTTTTTCTATTTTTAAATTCTCAACTACAGTGTCCCAACAGGTGCAAATGTGCAGCAAAGGTTAAACGTGCCACAAATGCATGAATGATGCAAGTTCCAAAACACACAAATGCACATACACAGAGAAATGCAACAGGAACATGCTGCAAAAAAAAAATCTGCAATAACAGAAAAAAAATCATACAACCAACAAAATGAATGCAAAGGAAAAGTGCTACATGTAAACCCAAAACGACTGCAAGTAAGAAATGCTACAAACTCACTCCTCAAAACAGAAATGCACCAGACCATGAGGGACTCGACCACTGAGTCTTATGGGACCAGACCTCCCAGTATAGATGGAAGAAAGTTGGACGGAAGAAAAAAGTACTTGAAGTGTTTGTGTGTGTTTTGGTGTTTGCAACATTTTTCCCTCTGCGTTTGTTGTGTTTTTCTTTTGCATTTGTTTTTTTGTGTGTTTTTTGAAGTTTGCATCATTCATGTGTTTGCAGCGTGTTTAGCTGTTTGCTGCATCTTTGCACCTATAGGCCACCGTACTCGATAGTCTAAAAGGATGGAATCCATCCATTATCTTTTACCCGCT